GAACCCGTGAGGAAACTAATGGCGGCCTGCCCCGAGGCTACTGGCCCCCAAGGCTGAGGCGATGGGGATGTTCTGCTGGTGGCGGAGCTCTGATTTGGAAGTTATTTTGTACTTCACCCTGCCTGGCATCACTGAGTTTGGGCCTTTCTGTTTGGGAGGGCGCTTAAGCTGCAAGTCAGAGCGTCGACATTTACCCTGCGGGTGAATTCTGAGCCTTGGCTGTATTTTCCCTGAGTGTTGGCGCTAAATCAATTCCTAAATTGCTTTTTAAGCTGTTTCTATTTTTATTGTCCCGAGAAAGTTTATCAGCTACTCTGGTTCTGTCTGAATTACCCACATGATCACAGAATTCCCGTTAAAAGGAGCCAAATGCAGATCTTTCTCCACTGGGATTTTTCTGAAGCCAGGGCAGTGCTCCACACACCTGGGAAAGCCCTATCAGTGTTTAGGAGTTTCTGAAATCGAGATAAGGATACTTAATTTACAGTTTTATTAGGCCTAAGCAAAAGCTGCTAAAGCAATTGGATGCTGCGTGTGGGGAAGGTGCAAGTTACCGACACAGACTTCTCACAGATGGCTTGAAAGCTCTTATGGTGCCATATAGCTTGGGTATGCAGGAGAGGGGTCCTAAAATCTAAGTGAAATGGAATTTTTCTGTATAGGTGTTTGTCTGACGCGTTTTTCTGTCACCAGTAGGTGGCTTTCTAGCCATTTGTAGATGCATGGTTACTGTACGCAAGCACAGCGCTCAGTTTGAAAGGGCCTCAAAGTAGGAAGTCTGAGGCATAATGACAGTAGTTTAATCTCCTGGACTACCTGATCGATGCTTATATTATAGCTTCATAAATTATCCTCAGTGACCACATAATATTACCTTACAAATGATGATATCTGTGCGTAGGGATATACCAAACATAGTTCGCTTCCACCATATAGCCCAAACTATTCACTCTGCTGGCTCCTGGTTTAAAATAAACAACACCAAAAAAAATTAAAAAAAAAAAAGCCAAAAGGCTCAGAACCCGTAAAGCAACGGGTGCCTTGTAGCCCCGATGTGGCAACAGAAGTTGATGCGCTTCTGGGTGAAGGCTAGGTCTGAATTAAAGAAAGGGTGAGGAGGACGTGTCTGTGGTTTGGTTCTTGGTTAAAAACTTGCAGCACTCGGGACAGTGCTGTCTGCCTGCCACTCCCGGCTGGGGAATTACCAAGGTCTTCCAGAGCGTTCCCTTTAGCTGTTGCCATAGCTGTGCTATAAAAACCAGGCTCATCTTACAAGTAGCACAGGAAATGGCCAGAGATTATCACCTCTGTGGTGTCGGGTTGGACTCATGTGAGAAGGTTTGTTGTGAGATGTGAGTGTAGACCTTTAGCCTAAACAACTTGAAAATCACATTGAGAATCTCCACGGGACCTTCCCCGACCTTTGTGAGCAGGGACTTGGGTCTGGGATGGGGACGAGCAGTGCAAATAGGGAATGATTTTGCATAAACTTCAACATCCTACTCTTAGGAGTCCATGTTCTTTTTTACTTCCCATTTAGCTGCTCCGTAAGGCTCAACAGCAGCTGAAGTCCCGTTTGGATGGGGTCCTGGGGCGTTACAGTACTGACAGCTTGATATGTCACTGTTCATGAGTACTTCTGAGTTCAGTCCATGTCAGCTGTGGTAAGTTTGGGCTCCTGACATGCCACAGATAAGGAACTCTTCCTTGCTCACGCCTCTTGGGCTTTTTATCTCTCTGAGTTTTTATTCCTGCTCCCCCCATTTCTATTGGTTTGAGGTTACTGGAGCATTTTTATAGAAAAAAATATTAATGTGTTTGTGCTTAGTGTAGTTTAGTGCACGATGCCTTCTAATTACCGCAACTTCCGAAAGAGCGTGCCGTGGGTAATCCTTTTTCTGGAAGCTTTTTTCATCGCCCTCTTTTGCGCAGATTACTTTGTGCTCTCCCATGGTCTTGCTGGCAAGTCACACACCTCCTACCCAGGTAAGATCAGCAGCCTTGCTGTGAAAGGTAGGCTTATCACCTGCTTTTCTCTTGCAGTGCAGTAGAGACAGGATTCAGCAGGTTTGTGGTTTTGTGAGAAGTAGAATGTTTTTCCCACCCTTTCAGTGCCCTACCTTGCCAGCTATGGTGTGTATTTATTTATATCAAAGCAATGGCAGTGAACAAAGACATAAGTGACACTAAACTGCATCGTTGGTCTGTTTTCTGCTGCCTGTTTGTGGTGATCTTAACTACGAATGTAACAAACTTCAGAGGGCAGGCACTGCTCTACCTCTGTGAGCTCTTGGCGTGCGAAGGCGTTATTGTGCTACAGAGTAAGAATTCAGGATGGCAGTATTTCCCATTTGAATGCTAGCTGTATATAGATGAAAATACAGTGGAATTAAGGTTTAAAATATATTTGAAGATGTTTTTTGTGCATTGATGAAAGGAGTATATTCGATTATGCTGTGGCCACAGTGCGTAATGTCTTTACAGCATTGTGCAAATATGAGTTGCTTAATCCTCACGACCTTCTTGTGTTACCTTCCCTGTTTCATAGCTCAGAAAATGAGATCTAGGTACTAGCGGGTTGATATTTTGCTGTAGGCACAGGCTGACACAACCATGTGAGAACATGACTTTTAGCATCTTCCAGACCTACAGATCCAAGAGCTTATGTCTTGGACAGCCTCTACCTTTTATGCAGCGGTGCAGGTTTCCGTACTGATCTGTTTCTCCTGCTATTTCTGTTCCTTCTACCCAGAAGAGGTTTCTTTTTGTAACTCATTTCTTCTTTGATGCCCTCACGAGTTGAATCAGCACTATTTCACAGTAACTCTCCCGGAAAAGTCTAATTTCAGCTCTTGAAATTCACCTCAGGAAAAATAAATGTCCAAATTTCATTGCTAAACATACTTAATTTCTGTCGTGCATTTTTGACTTCTCAAGCAGCATTCTGTGGTATCCATTCTGATCACTTTGTGAAAACAAGTTCAGGGTCAAGTGTATTGTTTTTCTGATTAGTTACTGTTTGGGAAAAAGGTCTGGAATTCTTTACAAGTACTAAATAATAAAGGCACCTGAGTTTTTATCTCAAGGCTTCTTAGTTGTGATATTTTTTCTTTATTTTTTTTAACCAGAAATCCAGTCTGCATTAATAACTTCACTGCTGTCTTGGTTGTTTCTGCTGTGCAGCTTTTCAAGATGTCAGCCACATGGTGATTTTTGGATTTGGCTTTTTCCTGACGTTTCTGAAACGATACGGATTTAGCAGCACTGGATTCCACCTCCTGATCATTGCGCTTGGTGTGCAATGCTCCGTGCTGGTAGAAGATATATTATTTTCACTTCTTGAAAGGACACACGATGATAGTCTGTTAAGGTAATTAGTTGGTGTTAGAACTGGAATAATTTAGAACTGCTGATTGCTCTTTGTGGAGGATCATGCCTTGTTATATGGACCTATTTGTGAATTAGCAGGGTCATATTTGCAGACATTTTAGGCTTTGGGTTTTTAAGTCCATTTTACTGTTTTTCTTTCATTGTCGGCCTTGGCATGGTCCTGATACAGAATTATTTTTTTCTTTTCTTTTATCGCAGAATAACAAAGGCTACTATGAGCATGACTGCTGTGGTCATCTCCACTGGAGCTGTTCTTGGGAAGGCTAATCCTGTGCAATTAATTGTGATGACAGTCGTGGAGATCATAGTTTTCCATGGGAGCAGACAGATCAACAAGGCATTCCTCCAGGTACTGTAGTATGATTTCCAGGCACCTGGGGAAAAATGTCACTGAGATTTTTGGAATGTTGCCTTTTGCTTGTTTGTTAGTGCTCTCCTGACAGCCACATCCGTGTGTTTTATCTAGTCTCAGTTAGGTTGTGGCTGTTTTCATGAAGAGATGAAGTTTGACTTTGGAACTCCACTTTATAACATCCAACTTGAAACTCTACGTACTCTGTGTCTATAAAATTGGCTCTTTCTGTATTCTTGGCCTTAAACAGCGAGCTGATCCGGTGGATTGGAATGTAGTGCTTTTGGCCCAACACATGAATGAAGCCTTGACCTACACTAGGGCACTAATTGCCCTTAAAATTCACCCCCTCCCTGTGTCTGTTCGATCTGGAAGATTTCCAGTGCGAACGGTGGGCCGACCCAGTCTGGACAGCAGGGTCAGAGCTGCTGTTAATGTGCAATGCAACATACCCCAAACTCTCTGCATATGAATTGTGTGTTTATGAGCTGCTCTGAATTCAGATAAATTACTCTCACATAAACAACTCGTGTGAGAAACTGTGGAACTGTGAAAATAAATTGTTTATAGGGAGGTTACATGAACAACTATATCGGGAACTGCATCAAGGGCTTCCTGTGACCTGAAATAAACCACAGACTTGATTTTTCTATTGATGTAGGTTCCAGACAATGTCAGCATGATGCACGTTCACCTGTTTGGGGCCTACTTTGGCCTGGCGCTCTCCTCACGTTTCTCTGAGCCATCACCAAGGTCGGAGAAGAATGCAAGCACCTCAGAGTCGGATTTATTGTCAGTGTTGGGTAAGGCGTTTGCTTTAATGTCTCGGTTGGAAGAAGGGATTGCAGTGAGAACGTAAGGAAGGTTTTGGGGGGACTGGCCACAGCGCACTGGAGTTTTTGAATCCAAACTGAAGGTCTGATTGCAGCCAAGTGTAGCAAACTGCTGTTGCTGTCGTTCGTGGTTTCTGACAATGAGGTGGTGAGTCTCAGCATGTTTCTTGCCAGGCATATAAACCACTCCTGCAACGGCTGTGGCTTAGCTTGCTCTCGGCAGGCTCAGCATAAAGATTATGTCAGGTTAACCATTCCTTCTCCCAGCTAAGTTGTGCTCTTTAGATTTCTACAGACATATTGGTAAGAGACTCATGTGCCAAAGTTAAGGCCATTAATTGTATTTCCGGAGCGTTTGCAGTTCCTGGCTGGGGCCAAGGCTCAGTCCCATTTGGCAAGGTGCTGGACAGAGATAGAAGGCGGCAGTCCCTGCCTGGTAACGTAAACGAAAAGATAAAAGCCTGGTGAAAGGTGGGGAGTATGATACAGAGAGGCACACGAGAAAGGATCTGAGTGACGATAGGCTGAATATATGGGAGTTCCGTTCTTTTTCTTAAAGAAGCAATTTGGTTTCTTTGTTATTAGGACTTCTGTAACTGCCACGGCTGAACTAAGATCTTTCTGCAAAGGCCCACAGAGTCTAATTCTCAGTCAGTTCTTGCCCACAAGGGTCTGCTACCTTGGTACATTAGCTAAGGAAGTTGACTGGGCAGCAAAAAATGATGACTGGATAAGGCAAAATAAGCTGTTGCTTGTTTGTGTTGTTGTCTGTGCACTTAAGAGCTCCACGCAGCTCTGGGACCAGAGGCACCCATGGCCATGCCTGGTCCAGCTTGGCGTAGTGTGAGGCCACCTGCTTCCCTCTGCTGGTTGGAATTTGATCTGTGCGTGTGTATCCCTGTGCACATACAAAAAAGATGTGTCCTGCCAAGCAGTGACCTTGCTCTGTAGAGGCTGAGATTCCGAAATGCTGACAGTTAGGGCCCCGGTCATAGGAACAGAAGAACCCATTTTCATTCCTGTTGTTAGCGGAGCCTGTGTGGTCATGAAAGCGTGACACTGTGCGGTGATCTTACAGGAGGAAAGCAAATTGTTCTTTTGGCCCCATGTGCTGTCTGCACTGTGAATCGTTGTCCTTTCTTTCCAATGTGGGAATCTCAGTGAGTACAGAATGCAGGCTGGAGCCCTCCGGACAGTGATGGATTCACTGTGTTTTAAAGCAGGTAATGACAATTGCTTGTCTTTTTCTCCAAGGTACTCTCTTTCTCTGGGTATTCTGGCCAAGCTTCAATTCTGTACTAGTGCTGAAAGACATGAGCAAAGCAGACAACAACACAGTGAGCGCTGTGACTGCAAGCGAAGCAGCCAACACCACCTTCCTTGCCTATGAAGCGAGCAAAGCAGCCGGCAACACGTTCTTTGCCCTTGCAGTGAGTGCTGTAACTGCCTTCATCTTGTCCGTTCTGACTACAAAGGATGGAAAAATCAGAATGGTAAGACATGAGAGAAAATCACTACATGGAGAAGATACTCTTCGGTCACTCTCAGTAATATGCTGAAAGTATAATAGCTATTAAGTAAAAACCAGAAACCAGTCGAGCTTTTCAGCTTGACATTCCCCTCCCAAGCAGAACGCTGAACCTGTAACTCAGAAACTACATTCTCAGAATGTAATTTATGGTAGATGGAGACCCAAACTCACCCTAAAGAGACCGCGCTTGCATGAGAATAGCAATCTATAATATTGGGCTGCTGTGAGTGATGACTGAATTCTCACTCCACTTTTTCTTTTGCAGACTCATATTCACAGTGCAGTGATAGCTGGCGGGGTCGCTGTTAGTTACACAGCGCAGAGCATCGAGTATCCTTGGATTGCAATGATTTTGGGCCTGCTTGCCAGTGCGATAGCCATCTTAGGATCTTACTGTTTACAGGTAATACTCAAATATACTGAACTTGTTTTTTGTTACAAGCTGTATAAACTTCTTTACTAATACAGGATGCCTCAAGGGCAGCCACTCTTCCGAAGAGATTAAAGCTGGGAAACACGAAGTCTTTTGAGCAGAGCACAGGATTGCAACTTGCGAGACCAAAGTGCATTTCCTAGGGCTGCCAGAGCCAATGTGCTACTCTCCACTTTTGTTTCGGTGTATCACTTGTTAAACATTTCTTTCTTCCCAGAGATGCTTGAATCCTACTCTCAAGATTCATGATTCTTCTGGAGTTCATTTCACTTTCGGCTTGCCTGCTGTGCTTGGAGCTCTTGCCCAGATTGTGTTCTTAGTAATCAAAAACTGGACTAATTTACCAAGGTACATAAATTCTTGCTATTAGGTAATAAGCTTAGCTAATCATTATTGTAGTGTGCCCTGAGAAGAGTTCTTAGACGTACAGAATGCCTGAATGTCATCACAGATAAATCATTTTATACCAGATAATCTAAAATTATCTCAGAAGTCCAAAAAAAGTCAGCGAAAAAGATGTTCAGTGTTGAGCAGACTTTGGATCAAACCTTTAATATAAGCCTTTGGTCCTGGTTTTTGTCTCCCTTTTTATTGGATATTAAATAGAGAAGATATAGGACATGAAGGCTGAGGATGTGTGTCCTTCCAAGACTCTTTTTGACTTTTGCGATGTGTTTTGGGGAGCTTTGTATGCCGACACAGGGTGGGCAGAATTCAGCATTTCTTTTCAAATGAGGTTTTAACTCTGAGCCAGGGGCAAGAATGCCGATGTGGACTAAAGGCAGTTTGGACTCTAAACTGGAAAATATATCTGGGGAGATACCCTGCAAAAGGTGAAGGACTCAGTTAAGGATATTCTCCATAAGTTGTTTTGTTCTGGCACTGGCAACTCATTTTTGCCCATCAAGCTTATGTCGTAAAGTTCTCTGATTTTCTCCGTTCACACCGGATTGAATCACAGTGTAGGGTAAGGACCTTACAGTTCTCCTCACATGCTTATGGAAACAAACAAATTTAATGAAGTTTTAGTGCCGCGATGATGGTTTCTAATGGTAAAATGTGTCCTCTGAAAGCTTCTGATAGGATCTCTTAAAGCATCTAATTGCAGCTACAGAGAGATTCAAGCGTAACAGAATCTTTATGAGAGTTTTGGACGTAAAATACAGATTCGTTCACAGTCTGATCCTGATGTTGGCAGCTGTAAGAGTGAAACGCTTGTTTTGCTTTCCAGACTGGGTTATTTGGTCTTCATTCAAGTTGGTGCCTTCTCCCAGACCATCTCTGTTGCCATGATAGCAGGCTGGATTACAGGTCAGTATTGAAAAAAATGGTTTGGTCACTTCCTCGTTTCCTCGGAGCAAGGGGTGTGTGATCCTATCGACCTGCTGTCACATCAGCACAACCCGTTGTAAAAAGAGGCCGGATTAACTGGGGCCCTGAAGTGTGTTTCTGTGGGAAAGATGAGTGCCAGGGACTCTTGAAAGCCAGCCTTCTGAGGCAGAGCTCTCTTCAACACGAGTGACCTAGTAGCACCATTCTTTCATCGATGAAGCTTATTTTAACAGACGCTTCACAGCTGCCTTCAAATTTCAGAGAGGAGATGTGTCAGGATGAAAATATTTTTTACACGTGGGTATTGCCGTAGCGACAGAAAAATGCTGTCTAGAGCTTGTCACTTTTGAGGCTGGTTGGAATAATTCTGCAAAGTTTCTCGGATGTCGGTAGCTCGCTGGCATCAGCCCGGCGCTCGGCCTTTGATCATTGGTGGTTTGGGATCATCCGGGCTCATGCGCTTTCCACATGACATTCGGTTTTCTGGCATCTGCAGTTTTTCTGTAGCTGTTAATTGTCTTGAAGAAAAGAGAAATGGCAGTGAAATATGCTCTAAAAGGATTGTTTTGCACTTTAATTGATCTGAAGTCTTTGCGTTGCCTTAAGTGTAATTAAGAAGTTGAGCTAATCAAGCAGATTTTTAAAAAACATTCAGTTAAAATAATCAAACAATATTTGTTGGACAAATTGTTTCAAAATCTGCATGCCCAAACTAACAGTGCTGACAAGCATGATTATTTAAAATACATAGGCATTGTTCATACAAGAAGTTAATAATTCTTGATATATTTTTAGAGCCTGGCAGGCTGTTTAATGGGGTTTTATCTAGAGTAATTAGTTTTTAATAACAGAAGCCTTGATCCTGGCAAGCTTCTCTCTTTGTATTTAAGGTCAGCTTGAGCCCAGGGGCTCTGCTGAACAAAAAGTTCTGAATTTGTATTTTGATCTATGTTATATTTGGATGCTTGTTACTAAGAAACCTGCAGTTACACAATCTTCCCCTTTCCCTGATGTGTATATTTATATTGGCTCTATGTGTTTTTACAAATAGGCTCAGTCTTAAACCTCAAACCATTTAAGACCGCCCCTGTATCAAAGTACTTTGACGACCAGTTTTATTGGGAGGTAAGTTTCAATGTCAAATGAACCGTGTGGGAGTTTATATATAGCACCTTCTTGACCTTGATGAAGAACTTCAGGTATTTTAATTAAAAAACAAAAAAGGATAGTTCCATTTCACACGACATTACATTTTGGATGCCCAGTTTTAAATGGACGAACAGTTCCCTAGCTGCCAAGTGTTGTACAGTCTCTGAGGAGACTTGGGCAGTGTCTATGAGAGGAATTTTTGGAAACCAGTGAATAAAAGGTGTTTTTGACGAAAACAGCCCGAGGCTCCTGGCCTTTGTGGGTGCCAAGTGCTGTTCAGCCTGAGGTACAAATGCAGGCCCAGCACATCTTTGGGTGCTGAATGCGATGCTCTATCGGAATTACCAAAAAGGAAATGGATGAAATAAGCTTCTAATAAGGTTTTCCATTGTCTTTATCATATAATGATTTGATGCATCAAATGTGCTGATACGAGAACATTTGTTTTCACAGTTTCCCCGTTTGGCCGTTGGATTTTGAATGGAGGAACCCAGCTGACAGATTTGACCAAGATAAGGCTTTTCATTTTTGTCACTAGAGCAAACGAATAGCTGGGATGGGTTGAAAGAGCACCCAAGTGTCAGTTCTTGGATGAAAAAAGAATTCCCAATGGCCACACAAAAAAAATTGTAATAAACTCTTCTAGTTTTTCTTGAAAGATATAGGGTATAAATTTACAGAGGCACACTTCTACTGCATTTTGTTTCTCTACTTCATCAGTCTCACCTTAAAATTTTTTGTAGGATACGTACAAACAATGTTCCCTGCTGCAGTGGCTTATCAATCCAAATGCTTGGAAACGAAACTATTTTTAGCTCCAACGTTTAAAAGCCAAAATGGTATAATTTTTCTCAGGTATAATTTTTCAAGGAGTACATACTCATTCTTATCTAGCGAAGCATTAAAGTACTTGTTTTTAAGTTAGATTAATTCTGTTGAAGGCCTTGCTAAGCAAGGATTTGAGTGAGCTGGATCAGCGCCAGAACTCCGCATCTTGCCAGACTGAACTGACTGCTTAAAGAAAAATCCATCACGACTTGGCTCAGGCCAGCTCTCTGGAAGTTCAAACGGCAAGAAGTTAAATCGTTCTGCTTGTGGACGGTGCCCTCGAAATCAGTGGCATTTACTCACGTTTTAAGATTTGGCAGCAAACAGCCTGTCTGTGCAAGAGGTTGGCTGCTTGGAAGGCTCTGGCTCTCCGAAAGGACGGAGGGAGAGACGGAGGGAGTAGCTCTTGGTCCTGCTCAGTACCGAGGCTCAGACCCCATTTCCGAGGTGCCTCAGGCTGAGTTGATTTACCCTGAGACCAAGCAGAGGCTTTGGAGCACGAGCCAGGGCCTGACCCTGCAGAGGATTCTGTGCAAGTGAAGTTTTGTTTGTAACCAGATTGCGATCCTCGGTGTTTGTTCTTTTTTTCAAAGTAGGTGACACAGAAAAACTCTTTCAAAAATGCTGACCTAATAAAAAAATCAAAAGGTGATTGTTTTTATTTATTCGGCACAGTTGCTTTAAAAATGAAATAATGAGGAAAAATACTGAAGACGAGGCAGGAGTTCTTTGATGCTCACTGCAGTGACATGTGCTGACCTCAATCCATTCATTAGGGACTGAGCAAAGCAGATCACTACAGGTAAAGCAGCGTGAGACGGGTTTCAAGGAATGAAAAATTACTTGTGGAGGAAGGGCCAGTTTTTATTTGCAGGGCACAAAGTACCCAGCGATGTGCTGAGTTTATGAACTGCGCTCAGCTTCCACGAGCTGACAGTGACATTCATCCTGGAGGCACACTTACACTGCTCCTACTCGGGTGATGGCGTCATCAAGGCTCAGCCGGTGTTCTGCACTTCCAAAACTTTCCAGCAACCAACCAAGCAGAACAAATGGCTGTTTTCTAGCAGGAGTGTTTTAAGAAATAATATTTTATCCCCTCCCTTTTCCCCACATCTCTCTTACCATTGATTTGCTGAGCAGGTGAATGAAGGGGAAGGAGCAGATAAAGGATCAAAATTCTCCCTGTAGGTGGTGACTGTGCCTGGAGCAAGTAATGCTCTTTGCCCAAGAGAGAAATTTGATCTAAAGAACACTCTTTTTTTTTTTTTAACAGGGGTTAGAAAATAGTTGACAGCGAGCTTTGTGGATGAGCTACTTCCATCTATGTAACTTGCAGTAGTGCCTCTACAATGCCGCCCACAGCAACAGTGAGTTGTTATCACTATAGGATAAATTAAATATTGAGGGATGAGGGGGGGAAAAAATCCCCAAACAGCATAATTCTGCAAGAAGAGCCACACACGAGTAAGCTTTGAAATTGAAGAAATGGTTATATTGTCCAGATACAGGAAATACTTAATAATAAATATATGTTAAAAAGTTCTTTTAAAGCATTTTTAGTAAGTCTTGGATTGTAATACATAACGTCATAGAAACACTTGGTTAACTACATCAGTTTTCCACTACACTATGTACTTGTAGTAAACATCCTAAAAGTGACTGCCTTTGTTACTTGTAGCAACTTTACATTTGTCAAAAACATTACAACATTCAAATCAACGTACAAGAGTAAAAAACAGAACCAGCATTTTTAGTTCTACGATATAAGTTTTCCTTGCTATATCTTTAGACACGATTGAAAGTCACCGTTTACAAAATGGCTTTACAAAACGTTGGGAGTGTGCAGTTAAAAAACCAGCATGGCCAGTGCACTTCCAGAGGCGGCTTCATTGCCACAAATCTTCCGTGCGACCAAATTTGAAGACCAGTCCTCTGTGTAAAACAGAATAAAGGGACATGAGTACATAATGGAACAAATCAAACACTTCATCATTTAAATGCGTCATTTCAAGGAGAAGCTGTAGTATTTGTAAACCCCATTCCTGCAACAAAACCTACACAAACAGATCCCAGAGACCTACTGCCTTTACCAGCAGTTTATTCACCCACAACTAGTTACTAAACAGGGCTTAAGAAAACAAAGCAGGTTACAGCAAGTTTCAGTTTTTATCATTAAAACTAATTAGATAAGGAAACAACAAAAGCAAGTAGTCTTACCCAAAAAAGATGAACGCATTCTGGAAAAACACAGCTATTCCTGGGTATACTACTGGTTTTTCTAATAATTAAAAAAAAAAATCCTCCATAAATGTTTTTGGAAGCAATTTTCAAGCATATCCCATCTCTGACATTTCAGAAACACTAAACTGCACCGCGTTAGCAAAGATAACCAGTTTCATTTAAATACCAACATTTGGAGCTGATGCACCAGGCAGCAGCAGTAAGGAGCCGAGTTAGACCGAGGGGCCCATAACAGTCCTGGCCACACACCGGGGTGAAGGGACAACAAACTCAGGAGCTGTGTTTCTAGCGAGGCTAGCTGCATGCTTGCAACTTAGAAATAGATAAAATCCACCCCAGTAACAGCAGATAGTACAGAATAGTGGTGTGTAGCGAACCAAAGTACTAAAACCGGGCCTGCCTAGAAACTATCGAAAAGAAAGATCTAAAATTCAGTAGTCATTTAAAATACTTTAACCTTTCAAAAATGGGTCAGGTTGCATTCCAAGCTGTATCTTACCTTTAACAACGTAGCCTCCGAAAAGGATCCACATGGAAGCAATCAGAGATCCAAAAGCCATCATAAAGCCAATGAACAGCCAGATCCGAGCACCTTGGAAAAGACGGAGGGATGTTTTGTGGCTGTGTCTGAGTACAGGCCCTTGTGACTTTGAGCATGCTTTCATCTCACACACCAGAACGATGCACAGAAACGCCACGGGTACGGCTCTTGCAACTCTCCCAAGACTTAAAAGCTTCCCAGACCTACAGAACAGCCGACACCACCGTACCTGTCTGTCCCAGGCAGCCTTCACTGTAACTGTCACCCCGCACCTGGCCATTAGACACTGCGTTGATCCTGTACGAGCAAAGCAGGATAAAACTGGGTAAGTAAAGAAAGAAGTGTTTACAAAACAACAGAAATGATAAATATCAACAAGAAAAACAGTAAAGATACTCAGATAGTAACTCGATTTGTTATTTGCAGTTACCTCTCCATTCTTTTATTAATGACTCAAAATAAGTTCTAGGAGTATGTAGCTCTGATGAAGAAATTATACTTACATTAGGAATGCAATAGTGGCTATAACCCCACAAGCATGGTATGAATGGTTGAAGTCTTCCACTTTAGGGTATTTTACAGCTGCATCTATGATTATCCACCAACCTGTAAAAAACTATTTAAAAAAAAAGAGCACAACAGGTCAATATATAGATACAAACCATTTAACTCATGTTTGTATCATTCAACGAGTGTTTGTATCCAAGATTACTATAGAAAAAATAATGTTAATATATAAAATCATTCTTATAGTCTCCAACCCAGAGTCAACTGATACCATAATTAGTTTTACTACCAACTTAGGAAAAGGTTAAACGCAAAGCCAGAGATTTACCTCCTCCACCAGTTATTACAGGGGTAGAAGGTGCATAACACAGGGATGCAAGCACCTGGAATGGATTTTGTCATGAGCTCTGCTGCTTCGGACAAGGACAACATAGCCCTGTTCTTCCTTTTTACTTCTAAACAGCTAATATTTTTTAGCCCACTGACAGATGACATGTAAAAAGCCCAGAGCAGCCC